AGTCGGCGGAATCGGTTTAACTTGGACGTGATTGATATTTCCATATGGACTCCAGATTTTATGCAAAGCAGGAAGTGTTGTGTCCTCGTGTAAAATCAATATACTAAAAGTAATGCGGGTTCCAACAGGAAACAATGGCAGCTCGTATTCCTGATAAACTGTGAACTGAAACAGGTTTGTGAGAAGATTTATCGTTTATTTTACTCTAAATGGGATTAATTCACTAAATGAACAGCATGCTGTAGAGACTGAGACCATAAACTCTTCAGGAAACTGTTTACTGAGCTCATAAATACACTGAGAAGTTGACTAATTTCTCCATAAGACACTAGGGTATCGGCACACTGTGTTATTGCAGCCAATGGAGCTGCCCCCTGCTGGCCGTTACACAGAATGCAGCTTTAAGACACTTCACTGGCTTCACTTCACAGACCATGAAGCTCTGTCTGTTATATATACTGTCAATGGTTTGTTCACTTGTACAACAAGTTGAGAAAGAGGTGTGTGTTCATGTTGGATGACTAGGAGACATTAGTTTACAAAAAGAAATTTGAAATACTAATAAGTAAGTAGATAACGTACCTCAAAGATGTACTTATGGAGTACTTGAGTAAATGTACTTTGCACTTCTTTAGTAAAGTAATCTTTAAGTGGTCGGTACCCTGATGCACTGAACATTTGGTTAAGTGAACTCAAACTGCTCTGTGTGGTTTCTTGTGGGGGCCCTGCCCACACTGAGAGTTATGATCATGCTTTGCCAGCGTGGACTCTTCTCTCCATTACAGAGCTAAGAGTGAAGAGTGCACTGCCTCTAAGAGGAAGGACAGGAGCCGATTTGATTGACTCGAATTAACACTAACACACCCACTGATAATGTGTTCCCCCTGATCCCACTCAATTTCCTGCCTCCGGCCCTGTGCCGCTTAACCTGCTTTTGTAACAATGCATCGCTGATTCATTTTCTTTTCAAATTAAAATGCTAAACTTTATCCATCATAAGAACAACTTATCTACAGTTTTCCTATACGGTATATATTTATACATAAATAACTTTATTTTGGAATGAAACCTGCTTTAACTCTTTTTAGCTGCTTGCCTCATTTGACCGTATGTCCCTAACACACCCGGCTCTCCTTCCTTTTCATCTCACTTTCCTTTCTTTCCCTAATGCTCTGCCTGCAGATCCCTGGAGAGGTGAGGAATTGCCTCTTTAACTCTTCCATGCACGTTTTGCTTCTTGTTTTCCTGTGGCCATGACTGTGCTGTGAACTACCTCAGTGGCAGAGAACCAGACCTTTATTTACAGTTTTCCCTTGTTCCCTCCTTCCTTGTTTACCCGTTGTTTCAGTATAATTAATAATTAATTCCATCAGTGCAGTACGAGTCATGTCAGGCAACACTTACTCCAAAATGTTCACCTCCTCATACAAGCAGACTTTTAATGTGAAAAAAAACTTCAAAACTAGAGCAGCAGATGAGAGAATAACACGACTCTGTTGTACTGTTTGAATTAGTGGAAATATATTCTTATGTTTCATTATGTTATTATTAAACTAAATTTAGCTTGTTAGCATGTGAGCTGTTGTAGAAGGCTACAGATAATTCCACCCCAACCAGTGTGCTGGCCGTGGCAGCTGTTATTATTTGAGACCAGCTTTAATAAGACAGGTGACGTTAATTACTGACGATTCTTTCTCCGTCGACTTTCAGCGATGCAGATGAGAAGCGCTCAGACAGCCAGCCGTCTCTGTGCGGGGAGAGCAAGCTGGGCAGCGACGACTCTCTGGCTGAATACGGAGACAGCGTGGACATCCAGTTCAACGAGGATGGCTCCTTCATCGGCCAGTACAGCAACCGGGGGCCCGCCCCCCCGGGAAACGAGAGCTCCGGTCCCGCCTCCCCCGTTAACGCGGTCCCGCCTCCCCCCATCGCTCCATCTATGTCGAGCATCCTGAACCGGCCCAGCTAGACACACACATTACAAACCAATACACACACACACACACACACTCCCTGTCTGCAACAAAACACAAAGGGACAGACCACTCCTGACTCCACTGCCTGTAATGTTATAGTGCAAGAACACACACACACACACACACTGTCTCAATACATTCCACAGGATTATGCAGTGAAGCTGTTTACAGGAAGTCTCGCCTTTTATACTACAAGTTTACACACACACACACACACACACACAGAAATACACACACAAGCAAACACATACAATCAGACATCTATTCACTCTTCTATTGAAGAAAGAAAGACAGAGGGACGTGGAGGACAGGAGCAAGTTGCACCAGCTGTTCGTAACTTCAAACTTTAAAGTAGAAATTTATGCGTCACTAATTTAAAGCGGGTCGCACCACAAAAGCTAGTTGTTACGTAGAGTTTCTAAATATTCACACCCAGTAACGCCACTAGATGGCGTAGACAAGCTAATTTAAAAACTACAGTATGTTCGTTATCAGTTGATACAAAGTGCATATTTCTGCCCGTTATCGATGCTGCAGTTGACTTCCTCGTTTACATTTTCGAATGCTTTCTGATTGGACACTGCCACAGATGTTCCTCAGCAACAAGAGGCAGCCTCCGTGGCTGACAAATGAAGCCAACGCGGAAGTAACAAAACCTGCACTTCCTTTAACAGCCACTAGAGGCTGGCTCCAGCAGTGAGCCAATCTCTGTAAGGCTCCATATTAAACATGTTTACAGCCTGGTGCAAAAAACAGTTTTGGGGTCCAGCTAATTCCCTCGTTTATGACAGCTGTACGGGGACTTACAGTTATACAGAATTACCCACGCTCCACCTCGTGCCTGTTTTTGAATTAGCCGGGAGACGGTGGAGTCAAGATGGCGATGGCCAGAGCCGACCACACCGAGCTTCACAACGGCTCTTCAGAAACCGATTTACATGTTACTAAAGGTTCTACTAGCCAAGACTTGTCTAATGTTTGAGTGGTGCGTCCCAGTTTAGTATTCAGTTCGTGGTCACTGAGAAGGACACAAGCGTTTGGATTTACCAACAGCTGGTGCTGATGGCTGATGTGATGAAGAGTGAGACAAAGAAAAGGGAAAAAAACATAATTTTATCTTGTTCGAACAAATTGTTTTCGTCTTTCATCATATACAAACATTTATGTCTCATTATGTCTCATTAACACATTTCATATACATTTTTTTATATAAACACCATTTTCAGTTGTTGTTTTTTTTACTTGTTGTGCA